CTTGCTGATAATGATGTGTTTTTCGGAGTAACTGCTTAAATTGCTCTGATGCGTTGCAAGAAAGTGAAAATCGGATAAGCTAAAGAGTTCTGCAATGAACTCACTTAAGGCTTCAAAGAAGTCAGAACTGCACTCCTCCTGAAGTCTCTTGCTCAATATTCTTGCATACTAGTTAAATGGATCAGCTTCTGTTGTCCTACGTATAAATAGAAACCTATTCCTCTGGTTATACACAACATTCAGCTGGCCTTTACTCTATAATCGACGCTATGTGATAAACATTTCATGGATAAATAACTAATCTTGGAAGGTGCATGACTCCAGGAATTCTAAATTCCATTAGCTACGAAACTACTTTATTGTTAACGTATAAGTTTGCAAGTTTGCATTGAAAATTGAACTTTAATTAAATCTAAATCAAGTGGGAGCCATCTTTTTATATCTATTAATATCTTCTAGCTTAATAATTATGATCGAAAAAATGAATTTTAAATCCGTTAAAAATACCTGAGAAATATAGTGAGCATAAAAGCTTTTATTGATTATGATTTAATTGAAATTATTAATGAAGGCTATATAAGATGTGCACAATTAAGGAGTACGTTTGGGCATTAGAATTAGGGTAAGTAAAATTAATATTTCATGTGAAAACTCGTCCTAGCCTTTAGCACACGATTTCCCAGCTAATATTTATAGGATGGTATTCTTATTCTTCAGCTATCTAACAGATACTATTTCACCCGATTCCACAACATCTTTCGGTATATAGACTATGAAAATTTATCGCATAGTACCCAATGAGTGGATTACAAGTGGGAAATTTCAGTCATTATGATGCCCAGGCATTAAATAAACCTTTTACGGGTTTTACAAAATTCTTTTATTTTAGAATATAGGAATAATTTACGAAGAGTAATTTTATACATTTTGACATTTGTTTTCCATAAATCTAATAAAAGAAAATGAGCTGCCAGCCAAAAAGATTTATTTAAATTGAAACGTGCCTTGAAAGCCTACTCACAGACGATAAATAAGTAATGTTGTTGATTGCTATGGCAAATATACGTTCGCTTCATCGACAATCCCACCACAGAATGCGATATGGTAAAATGCATGGCCTTACTGGACATTTACATCTTATCCGTGGCAATGCAACGTATTGAGCAATGTGTCGAGATTATACACTGAGTTCAACTGGGTGTGCTTACGAGAAGTAGGTGAGGTTGAAACTGAAGTCTACTTTGGATAAAAATACCTTTTGGGAAGCAAGTTTATGCGAAATTAAATGAAAACGTATGGTCTACTCATAACAATGTGGTAAAATTCAGCTGCTAGTCCTTTATCACCTGAAACGAAATAGGGTGAAAACATTACATTTATATGATTTCCTGTTAGTCTCGATATCCTATTCAAAAACGAAGTTATATGCTCTAATAGTTGGTTTTCTAATCTTTAATTTAAAGACGGTAGGCAAAGTTTCTCCTTTTTTGGTTAGCTTCTCTCAGGATTGTAATATCCTGAGTTCATATTTCTCCTGTGTTCCTGTCAGATCTGCACTGAACCCTAAATTAACACAGCTTTGCTTGTATGCCCAAAAGCTCTTTTTATTTCATTTTTTAAAAATCAACCATTATACATTCAACCGTTACTTGGCGAACGTTTTGTAATCACTCTAAAATGACGCAGATGTATACCTGCAATAATTAGCAGGGTATTACGTAAATGGTCAAATTCGTCCATTACTTTGTGATTCGGCATTTCGTAAATAATAACGATTCTTGTATGAATGAATTGGCAATCTCGAAGAATAACTCCAAATGGAGACAGAGTCAAGAAAGCTTTAAAGGCATTATTTGTAGAATTAAGTGGCCTATTTGACTATAATTGGTAAAATAAAAATTTGTTTTCGATTTAGAGAAGCTTACGGTAGATGCCTGATTTTTAGTCTCAAAGTGGAATAGACGAATTCAGTTGTACCAGATAATAAAGACATATTTTCATTGACCATTCTATCATTCGCACCAAGCATCCTCTGTTATTATCCGGTTCCAAAATAGATGCTAAATTACACTGTAAATAATCAAACTGCTTTACATGAAATGACAATTCAGCCCACTTCAGATAGAAGAAGCTTTTGGACAAAAGAAAGCGTGCGTGGTTTGGTCCATTTTTGAATATCATTTTGATAAGCACTATAGATATTTAAGCGAATTCTTATATATTCCGTCCTCCAACTATCTTAGGTGCTTAATATTTAGTCACCTGCCGCTAGCCCGCATATGAATCTAACTTTTGAACAGTGGAGGATTCATTTTGTGACTTTAATTATTGTAAAATAGGACGAAACTAATCTGTTAACCTACGTAATTGCTAGTGCGACGTCATGAAAGGATACTTGGTCAGTCTCGACTTTGACCAAGCACTCTAATTCTAAAAGATTTAAGAATCACTAATATTATCACACCTCATTCCCATAGAATCCGACTGACCAGCAAACTACCTCCATTTATGAAATCGTATTCATGACATTAGTCAAAGAATTCTAAAAGGATAAGTCGAAATTCTACAATCTTCGCATAAATATGAAGGTCAGGAGGCTGTGACCTTGGGTTTAGTCTGCGTCTCCTTTAGCTGTATAGTGCTGGTTTGACTTTATTTTTGCAATTTGGTCGGAGCATCAGGAAAACCTTGTGAAACGTACCTAGTTTTGCGTCCTATACCATAGTACTCATGATATTTTCCAACATTGGACTGTTGACTCAGTACATTCTCAGACGTCTCGTTGAAATTGGAGAAGGCATCGTCAATAGTATTTGCCATTCTTAGTACAAACCACAACTTGTCTTGCCCCTTCTTTTAGTTGTAGTTTGGTTCTATGAACGGAAAGACACTGTCGATGCCGACTACTTTGCCAGTAAAATGTCTGGAAGTGTACCAAGTCAACACTCTGATGCTAAAAATCTGCCTGAATAACGTTATATTATCTTCACTCTATTTTAATCCAAATATTTTATAGAATCAGTAAATCAAATCTTCTTACTCAGTATTTAGCAAAACTAGTAGCCAGATAGAAATAACTCCTGCATTTGTTAGTATATTCAAATCTATATTGCTTTTCCTTTAATTAAGAACTCAAACTTGTTCCTGGCTATTTGTGGCGGTATTCAAGGGTCTAAAAGGATAACATGTTCGATAGTAATTTTGTTTAAAAAGCCTAACTTATTCTATGATACCACATATAAATTGTTAATGCTTGATCTGCATTCAATTATGTACATATATTTCTACATTTATTTAATTATGTATAGCATTTAAGTTTACTCTTCTCAAAAACCAAATATTCTAGATGTTACAGTAATTGATTAAGTGATAATATATCTGCTATTTGCGCTAAAAAATGAGGGGGTGATTTAAAATAATAGGCACTTTTTGAGCATTTTTACACTCACTTTGGTAAAATCGTACCCGACTAACTCCTTGTAGGAAACGAGGACATATGAGGCATTTAGGTTGTTGGGGTCGGGAAAAGTTAATCTTGGTACATTGTCGTTCTGATCAAGGATTCGTAGACATATCTTCGTGCGGCCAAGCCGGCTTGGAACGCCATGATCACTGGCTCGCATGTGCATTACTAGCAACGGAGCTGAAGCATCATACTCCACAGAATCCGTGGCTGTTGCTAGCCGTGTCGAGGATGAATGCAGTCCAGTCATGGCAACTTCGAAACCCATCCGTCCAACGAGCATTTCACTGTAACGGTGTTGGAGATCTTCACCATCTCTGCTGAGTCTGCCAAGTTCCTCACCCTCAATATCCGTGCCTTCGTCACTGCTACTGACCGCCTCTGAGAGCAGAGCTTCTCGATCTACAGAGGCATTTGTGAAGAGGTCAATCTGGTAGACGGAAGCACCTTCCCGGGCGGAAAGCCAAGAGGCCAAACCTTCCGCACTTTCTTCAGCAAATGTACTCGTTGACTCTATACGCTTAACTACAAGTCGTAGCAGACTGCTTTTCTGCAGTTGATGCTGTAATTGTGGCATCACTCTTTTCCTTGACTGCCGAAGTCCCGGCGGGACGAGATCGGAGTTAAGACCTATTTGAGTCATGATCCTTTGAGCACCAGATTGTTGCAAAGCTGGAGTGACCAAACTGGCCTCCTCCAGTCGAAAGGTGACTTCAGCATTCTGGCCAAGATCACTATCGGCGGCATAGATCACTCCGACCAGTTGACCGATTGGCTGGTTTTCTCTCAAGCCAAAAATGTACTCGGAACGCTGGAAAACTGGTGACTCATCATTCACATCAAGAAGGCGTACATGAACTTTCACACTGCCGGTCTGTGGTGTCGGCAGGCCGGCATCTTCGGCAACTATTGTCAAAGTGAATTCAGGCAATTGTTCGCGATCCAATCCTCCAGTGGAGCTGAGCCAGCCCGTGTCCGGGTCAACTTGAAGCAGATTGAGCAGGTTAGACGGTGTCTCAGGATCTAAACTGTACCGAATCCGGCCATTTTCACCTTCATCCAAATCGCTAGCCTTCACTTGGATCAGCGCATAATTGGCCTTCACGCGTTCTGGATGCTGGTCCTCAAACGAGTTGACAACGTATCGTTCTACCGGGAACAGTGGAGCGTTGTCGTTAATGTCGAGCACCCGCAAACTGCTCGATTGGTTCATCATTTGTCGTGGAATGCCGTGATCCCAACAGCGCAGAGTGAAGTGAACAACTGCCAACCGTTCGCGGTCAATGCTCTTTTCTACAACCAGTTTGTACTTTCGAACCCCTGGACTTTCTTTGTCCAAGAGGCCAGATCCCGGACTATGGTAGGCAAGGTGCGGACGCCTTCCCTCTGTTGAACTACGAACTTCCGAATTCAATTCTCCCAATCGCAGAATGCCATCGGCCGATTGATATGCCAGTTCACAAGAAATCCTGGCGTTTTCTCCGGAGTCGTCATCTGTCACGGAAATCGATGCCACGTCTTGGTTGGCCACCGACTCTTCCGGAATCGTCAGCTCCAGACTGCCAGTCGGGGAGTACATCTTGATCTTGGGCGCCTGATCGTTGACGTCACGCACAGTCACCACAAGTTGAGTGGTACCAAATCGTCCGGCCGTAAATGGTCGTCCGCCTGACGAGCCGGACGACCTCTGTCCAGCGTTCATTGTTTCCATGGCGCCTGGATTGCTGGCACGAATTGTCAGTCGGTATTCCGGCGTCCGATGGTAGTTGAGCTGACGCTCGAGTCGAATGGCGCCAGACGATTCGTTTAGACTAAACGTAGACAAGGCCACCTCCGGCGTGAATGGATCGAACCAGTAGATGATACGGGCGTTATCACCAGAGTCCTTGTCTTTGGCTGCAACTGTCGCGATGAGGTGGCCTAAGTTGGCGTACTCCTCCACGTCTACAGTGTAGACATCGCGATCAAAAGTTGGTACATGATCATTGGTGTCGTCGACTTGGATGGTGACTTCCAGAGTGCATGAGTAGGTTGCGTTTGACGAACTGTCTCCTGCCACAACCAGCAACTTGTATTCTTTCTGTTGTTCATAATCCAACTCTGCAATAAGCTCAAGCTCGAGGCGAAAGTTTTGCTCGGTGCCCGATGACTGACTCAGCGGTCTGGGGTAGTCGTGCATTTTCGAGTTATGCCCTGTTGCCTCGTTGTTGGCGCCGATTTGCGCCACGTTCAAGCGAAACCGTTGCTCAGCCGTCGAGTTCTGACTCGGGAGATATTCAAGGCGGATGCGATCTGGTTGGATGCTGTAGCCCATCTCAGCTCCGTCCGGGTCATGGGGCAAGTTGAGAAGAATTCTCGTTTCCCCCGGCCTAGCGTCCTCGAGGAGATGCACCAACTGCCTTGCTGAAGGTCGAAATTGACATCCATTGTCGTTGATGTCGTGTATCTCAATGAACACATCCACCTGGTCGACAAGGCGAGCCGGGCCCATGGATGAAGCACTTGGGTCACTCGACTGTAGACAATTGACACTCATCTGAAGCATGCACTGAGAGCCAATAAGACTGCTTTGGCTCGAGCACAAGGCCTCTCTATCGAGTCGTTTGAACACGCTTATTTCACCGGAGAATTCACCCACCGTGAAGTATTGCGATCCATCTTCTGGGTTTGCCATTTTCAAGAAACGCAGCCGATTATTGATGCTGTCGAACTGGTCGAGAAGGTTGCCTACACGCATGCCAATCGCGACTTCTTCGTCTATCCGGTATGTCACCCTGGTACCTTGTGCTAAACAAACTAAAAATAAAAATGTTGGCGCAAAGAGTCGCGCCAAGACGCTGGATATCAGAGTTGAAGACATAGTTATCCACAGATGCCTCCAAAAGGATCATTTAATTTAGACTTAACGGTAAAGCCATATTGGGGAGCATAAGCCTCATTCAAACAAACTGTCTCGCGCAGATTGTGCGGAACATGGGAAGTACCTGTAACTTAGATTAATGCGCCAATGTAATACACGCCAAGTCTGCGAGTCATCTACTTAAGTATGCTTGATTTATTTTACTCCTACTCCGCGTTTGACTGGCTGTCAGCCTGGCCAATCATATGGAGCAGCAGCCTTTGGGCTATAATTGGCTGAAAGATTATTTTTCTTGGCTCAGTCATCCTGGCCCTGCGAAGAAAAGTAAGGGTTTCGAGGAATCTCTTGTTTCATAATTGTTGAGCTTACTTCAATTTTGAGTGAAAGTGTTGGGTGAAGAGATTCAAAGGTCGGTTCCACCAGAAGACGACGGCGGACTCCTCTTGGCCAGCTGTCGATTGGCTTTACTGCAACATTCATGCTGACGCTGTTTCCAAGGCAATCTCCTTAGACTCCGGTGAAAAGGTGCTAAACTTTCGTCCGTCATATGACCGACATCATCAGAGCGAGGTATCATCGTCACAACAAAATTCAAGCTAACGAGTCAAGAAAACTCACCTACATCTGGCTTTTTTGATCAAGTATAAAGTCATTTGATTAGTTAAGGTAATGTGTCAACTTCGATACATGTGAGTGTTTAGAAAGGGGGAGATAGAGGTCATCAAACCTTGCTGGCCAAAAATAGTCGTTCCTTTTTGCTGTCCTAATTACTTTGAGCCATCACTGCGCGTTTCGTGCATAAGCGAATACAAACAGGCACATACAAATACAGAGACAGACACACTCACATGCATCGAAGTTGAAGCTTAGCACCTTTCCACCGGAATCGAAGGAGATTACCTCGGAAACAGCGTCAGCATGAATCTGGTCAAGAGGAATTCGCGGTCGTCCTCTGGTGGAACCGACCTTCGAATCTCTTTACCCAACATGTCCCTGTCCTGGAGTTGCCAAGGTATGATATGAACGCTTTTTATTGTTTCGTGTTTGAGCTGATGACACTCAAACTGGAGTCAATACATTTTTTAATGGTTTGATTTTTCAGGTAAAGATGATTGTATTTTACATCTCAACCACCATTAGTGGTGGCTAAGGCTTTTGATTTGCATGAGCCTTAATAACACTTCAAACGAGAATTGAACCCTTTTTCTGACGCGGCCTAGGTGTCGACTGCTATGGATGAGAAAGCTGCACCTAATCTCAATTAGCCAAATACTAAATCTGCGTCATTTTTCGACTTATGTGTCGGTTTTCGGCACTAGCAGTAGATCACAAACTTACCTCAGATATTCTGTATCATGTCAAAATGAAGGTTCAATAAAACGGCCACTATCCTCGTCTAATCGTGTACTACCAAAAAGCACGACTGATAAACGTCAATTAAGAGTTGAGAAGTCAAGACAATTTAGAAATAGATCATATTACCTAATTATGAAGTCGTGTCATCAGTCCCTTTATCATTTTTGAAAACGCCTCGGATCTAGGGAAATTACTCAACAATCTAGGCAAATTACTGAACAAGTCAGTTAAGACGGATCTTACGAGGAATGAGAATGGCTCTGATAGGACCTGAATGGAAAGGAT